AAAAAATATAAAGCCCCCACCTTCTTCCCTTAGCCATAATTAAACAGTCAAAATTGATCTTAAATTTATAAAACTTTAGTTTCCCCCTCAAGTACTGGCCCCTGCCTGCATTCTCCCTAGTGGCAGAGTTACTAAGATTATCAATCATCTGTAAATGAATAGGGATTGGGAGGGAAAATCTTCTCTTGTTCTTTTTTTAGAATTCATTTTTTGGGGCTTGATGTTTTTAATGTTAGTTTTCTATTAAACACTATTTTGGCTCCCTCTGGTTGGGCAAGGAGAAAGAGTAGAAGGCAAAGTTCAAGTTCTTATGCCATAGGTACTATAAAAACTTGATTTAATCCAACACCTTATGTTTCCAGGATTTAACCTTTAGCCCTGTTGCTACTCAAAAAGACTCCTACAGTATCTTGGAATCTGAACTTGGCTACTGATAAGTTACTTACCTCCTTGTCAAGATAATCAAGAACCGTTATTAGTTAACAGCAATGTACAGTTTCTTTGATGTAGGCTTTTTTACTGTATTTCCTGTGTAGTGGGTGCAATAATCCAAGAAGAACTCCACATGATGCTGCTGTTTGAATGTACTCAGAAATGCTCTTTGTTATTAAGAAAATCCCAATCAGACACTGTAACTATATATATGTTATAGAAGTTAGTGTTTCACTGAAGAATGTTGATAAAAGATTTCTCTAACAAACGTCTGTTTAAAAAGAAGATATAAATAAACACATAACATCTATCAGTTGTACCTATACTTCTCCAATAAGAACTAACTCTTTATTTTGGCCTCCCAGTTATGTTTAACAATGTATTGTTCTTCTCTTACTTGTATTATTAAAAATAATTTCTCTTTTTTTTGTCAAAAGCTAACAATCAAGGATCTAACATTATAATTTAAGGAGTTACTTATCCAAAAGGAACAAATCATATAGCGTTTTAAGTTTCCTGAGTGAATGATTCACTTTAATTAAATATTCTGCCCCACACAGGGGCCTTGGCAAGTTGATAGGTAAGCTAATATCTTACCATGCTCTGAAATGTCTTTATAAGGGAAGGAAACTATATATCAAAGAAAAATTCCATCATATAACTTGGATCCATTTAAGTTATAGCAGAATTAACCTAGTAACTTCAAAATTAATACAAATGTAAACTAGTCATTTTGAGATTTATAATAATTGTTTCTGACTGCATGCATATTTTTCTGGTCTTCATTACCAGTAAAATCAACATCACAAGTTAGAATAATATCAAATGATTTATAAAATTAGATGGGGTATACACAGTAATACAAAAATAGATGTTAAATTCATATAAGGAAATAGCATTCATAAGAAGGAAATTTGCTTGCTGGTTTTATAAAGGTTTTCTTTATAGCAAACAATTAAAGTGATTTTATAACTTCTGTTTATGAAATATGTTACCTACAGAGAGAACAAAAGGATCATTTGGAGAAAAAAGTGTATACATCAGCAATACCGAATAATTCAGATATTTGGCATGGGTCTCTGCTCTGCTCCTCACAACTTTAGCAAAAGAGCTGAATATCTAGAGAAGACTGAGGACTGTATTGCAATAGATTCCAATCGGAATTAAAGTCCAAAGATTTCCTAGCCTCTCAAATACAATTTGTGTTCATCTGTCATGGAGTGAAGTTACAGGTGTTAAAACAGATGTAAGAAATTAGAAAACATTTGTCATTTTTAGAAAAAAAATCAGTACACATTAAGCTAAGGTTACCACCTCAAAATGTCATCTTCAGAAAGAATGGAATGGAAAAAAGGGAGTGATATCCCATGAGGGTTGGATAGATGCTGTAACAGCAGAAAATAGAAAGAATATTATACATTTACTGTGACACCATTCTAAAACACAGATGTAATGGAAAGGGATTAGAACAGAGGACATGTTTTTAAATAGAGCTATCCCTGGAGAGCCATGGTTTCAGACTGCAAGCCTGGGCAGCTCTAGTTAGTGGGGAGGGGTGAGAATTACCTTAAAAGTATCTGAAGCTGTCAAACAAAATCCCAAAGACCAGTTCTTTGATTGCATCCTAAAATGTGTTCATTGTGTTTTGAAAATCTATACAGTACAGTACTGCTGAACTAGCTCTCTACGAATGTGTTTATGTGAAGTTCAAGAGCAGTGATATTCCAATAGATGGATATGGAATAAAACATATGTTGGACTGGATGGAAATAGTGAGTCACTGCCATGGCTGAACTCAGTGAATTTATTTACATATAAATTCTTTGTAATCTCATGTTGTCTCACGTGACAGCCAGTGACTCACTGTTTGTTTATCAGTGGAAAAAAAAACACACTTTCTAAATACTCTTGGCTCAGATCATCCTACTGAGCTCTGTAAATGAAGGGGATCTTCTCAGCATTCATCTCACTCTTCCCACACAGAAAGAGTGCTCAGCCTCTTCCTCTGGGCCTCACAGAGGGTGTCCAGAAAATGCAAGTCCATAGGCAATGGTGGAAGGAGGGCATTCCAGGGGCAGCCCCAGCTATGATAAAAATGGTAATGCTCAGCTTCCCCTTGGGGAATATATAGAAAAGACAATACAGCCTGGAAACCTTATCAACTTTCCCTGTTAGTACAGCTCTAGTGAAGCCACACTGCCAGGGATTGGGAAAATTGGAAAACTAGAGGTACTGAGGTGCACAGCCATCACTAGGATGATTCCTACCTCCCACAGATTCGTATAATCAGCAAGATGGCATATGCCTTGTGGACCAAAACTGTCCCCAGGACTAACAACCAGAAAATGTGGGGCATTTCCACAAGAGGATTCATATAGAAATGTAATGACCCTGAGCTTTTTAGTGAGTTTCTTAACCTGGCAAGGGATCATAAAATCAGAGGGAAGGGACTTTGAGGGTCATCCCAGTGGCACTAAGATCCATGATACAAAGTATCCCAGAAAGAAAGGCTCAAACCTCTATACCAGTGGTCAGCATCCTTTTCCATCAGCCAGCCAAAATGGCCCAGCTCGGTTCCAAGGCAGGCCAGAGTGAGGACCCAGCCACCACTGCTGCTTCTCCCTACCTCCACTTCTCCCTGCTACCCTGGCTGTGGTGTGGCTTAGGACAGTTCCCCACTGCCCAGCTGCCTGGTTACAGAGAGGCATGACACAAGGAAAGCCCCTGCCACTGAATGCTGCTGATGCCCCAGCTCCGCAGGCCAGATCCAGTGGCTCCACGGGCTATGTTTTGCTCACCTCTTCTGTACACCAAACTTTAAATAATGTATCATATAGAGGGGACTTGGGGAACAAAGAAGAGAAAAAAGAAACTAAATTAGTTTACATTTATAGATTCACACAAAGAAGTTTCACTTGAACCCAGAGGTGATCAAGATATAGCCCATGGGGAGCAATGTCACAAAATTAACACTGCTACTGCTTTCCTGCCAAAAATATTCCAGTTCCCTGTGGAGCCCTTAGTGCTGGGCCCAGAGTACAGAGATGTGTCATCTGACCCAGGCCAGATAATACAGACCATGGATCAGCCCAACACTCTGGATTTGGCCTGCAGATTGTCTCCACACTATTCACCCAGATAATTTGGACACCACTGCCTCACCCAATTGTCTTTCTACAACAAAATACACAAGACACGAGAAAGATGAAGCCAAGAGAGATAGAGAACCGGAGGCATCTCTCTCTTTTACATGCACACACATGCACACACACACACACACACACACACACACACACACACTACACACACACACACACACACTCTCACCAACCCACCCACCCATACAAACCTAGGTGTGAATTAAAAGAGATATTTTCTACTCAGCTATTCAGGGATACCTCTTGTAAGTTACATGACTCACAAATAAAGAGAGTCATCAATTAAAAATGAGAGAGAAAAAATTATGCATAATGATGTGTGCAAAAAACAACAGGAAAAAGCTGTCTGAATGTGATTGTCTGTAAAAAAAAATTGTCATGAACAATACTACTAAACAGAGACTTGCTATAAAAAATACCTTGTTATTATACAGTTCTGTTTCATTTTATATTGTTCCCATTATATCCATTGTCTCTCCAACAAAGTTGAAACAACATGAGCAAGTAAAATTCATTGCCTTCTTTTCCCAAACCACAGGCCCCTGCCACTGAAGCTAAAGGATAGCCTCTCTTCTCTGTTGTAGATAATCACATCATTTCAAGCCTGCATCCATTAAAAACAAGAACATTGCAAACTGATAAACTTATGAAATTATTCCATTTGGTAGAAGGGAATCTTCCTCACATAGGTCTAGTGATAAACTTCTTGGATAGAGCGTGACCACCTAGTAGAAGAGAACATGGATGTTTTAAACCCTAAGGTAACAGGATACATCTGAGAAATGTTTACTAGGGTCTAAAAAAGTAAGACTAAGCCAGCTGTTTGCAACTATAAAATAACTTATGTCTATTGGTACAAGTCAGTGGTTGTTAGATTTTCTAAAGTCACAGGACCCTTCTTATTACTTCTTCTCCTGCAGAACTCCTACCCCTATCCAAAAACTGATGCAGAGCCAGGAGATCCAACCCTGTAATGGTGGTACACTGCCTCTCAGCCAGCTCTGCCAATACCCCCAATCTTGTTGCAGAACCCATGATAACTTATCACAGAGCCCCAGGGTTCGCCAGAACACAGTTTGAGAGCCTCTGGTATAAGTCAATGGATGGAACATTAGATTGCGATTCAGATTCAAGGAATGTATTTATAGCTGAGTTGCTCACCTGTCATATTTAATGACAGACACCTTGTTTAATGGCTCTGTGTCACCTGTAAAATGACAGCAATGAGACTTGCTTCTTCTATAAAGTCCTTAGAAATCTATAGCTGAAAAGTCATATATAAGAACTTAAGGTCCACATCTACAGAGACTTAAAGTGGGACTTAAGCAGAATTTAGGCCCTGAAGTTCAAGAGTTCAATCTACAAAACACCTGAAAGTCTGTAGGGGATGAAGTAGCAACTAGGAAAATTTTCCCAGGCACTTTGACTTCTACTCTGTGTGACCAGAAGCGCAGCTATATTAACAAGGCTGGGCAGTTCAGCACTTATCTTTGCATAAACCAGTTTATGTATTTTTCCTGTTAAGTCCCCTGAGCGGTCAATCCTGTAGGTGTGTTCTGAGAATACACAATTACATATCAACAGCTCCGAGCTCAGCACCAAACACAGCATTTAAAGATGTCCAGTGGTAGTAGTGCCCACCAAATACATAATAGGCCATTGGTTACAACACTTAAGCCGGACATATGAGACCTGGCTTCAGTTCCTTTCCTCTGCAGTTCAAACCTGCATCTCTCACTTCTCAGCAGCATGCCCTACCCACCGTGCTATCAGCTAGGCTGGGTGTGGTTACCCCCCATTCCACCTCTTGAAGCTGTGCCAATTTGTGGAAATGCTAGCAAGATTCATTGAATTGAAAATATGGTTATACATGGAGTCTAGTGAGGTAGACACTTCCTGGGAAGAGGGGAGTCCTGAGTGCCAGTTTTCATTCCCAGGATTGTTTGCATTAAGCAGTCATTGGATAAAATGCTTAAATGATCTTGGGTCTCCCCTCAGCACTGGGCGACAGAGGATCACTGTGCTTTCTAAAGGTTAGGAGGAGTGAAGTGAGATAATGACCTCCTTGGATTTAAGTGCCTAGATTCCCCCTACATCATACTTAAGGCAATTACTTTTCCTGTAGATCTGGGCCCATGCACCTGAGCATTAAATATGGGAACACCAAGCACTGCAATGCCTAAGTCCTTCTGTGTTTTTAGCCCTGTCTATGATTAATATTGTTATTGGCCTCTGAGATAATGAAGGAACGAAGCAGCTCACAGCCAATGCATAAGTGGTGACAGCGGAGGGGCGTACAACTCCACTGCCACTGACCCCACTGTTGCTGGGCACTGGCTTCACCCAGGCTGCAGCCCGGTGCCCCGCCATCAGTGCAGAAATTTTGTGCCACTGCTGCTGCCCCCACTGCTGCTTGTCCTGGCTCCAGCCAGGCTGAAGCCCTGAACCCTACCATCAGCACAGAAATCTGGGGAGGCATGTGCCCTCCATACCCCTCTGTGCGTTGCCTATGAAACAGTTCATATATACTCTAACTACATATGGTATTTTTTGTGATGATAATTTTTAACAGTGTTATCTGGACTCCCACAGTGATGTTCTTGAGTTAATTTTTATCAATAAAATAAATGAATAATTTCCTTTTCTATTCTCTAAAGGTTGAAGATCTGTTCAGTGTCTATACCTTTACAAGCAAGAAAAAACACTTCAGGGGTAATAAAACAGGTGAAATAGTTTTTGCACAATCTTAAAAAAGAGGAATCAAAGCTGAACTGCTTTTCATGCTTTTCTGAGATCTTGCGAAAATATAGATTCCAAAGGACAAATGACCCAGCTATAAATAACCTAAATATACCAAAGTCATTGTTCACCTTGAAACATATTTAAACATACACACCCAGCCCAATTCTAAAACTAGGTGTGTACAGTTCCATGCTTAATTTGCTTGTGCAACTACAATTAAGTGTTCAGCTCTGGTAATTGACCATGCAAATGCCCAGATGTAAATTTAATATAACTACAATGTCCTACTATGTCCTACCTTGTTAGATTAAAACAGGTGAGAAACTGAAAGCACTCCTCTTTCCCAAAACAACAAACATGTATATAGTACATGGTAGCGCCTTTTGGGAAAAAAATGGATACCCAGAGAAAAATTACTTACAACACTACTGAACGCATTCAGACTAAAATAGGTTTTTCTAAAAATATATGTACTAAAACTGTAATGGGAGCTAGTGATGGGCACATTCTTAACCCTAGTCCATGTTGGTTATAAAGTAAGCTACTGGAATTCTCAAGTGTTTTTAAAGGGTATCATGCTGTATGCAGCAGCGCTTGAAAATAAAGTTGTGCTTACTGACAAGTGTTATTCATGCATTTCATTTACAGGATGAAGAAAATAATTTAAGTGAGGTTTTCCTCAAACTTTATTTAAGTTTGAAATTTAGATCAACATTACCAGATATCTGCTATCACAGATAAGGAAGCAATGCCTCATGAGTTCAATTTTAATCCTATATTAAAGAAACGTGTACAAATTAGGTCAGTAACAAGGCTTATGTAAGGAGAAGACCACCTATACTTTATGGAACCTTACAAGACATGTGTATTTGCCAGTCATAAAACTCAATCTTACATGGGTCTTACGTCCTAGGATGCACATAAGAACACATTGTGAACACTGAATCACCGAAGCACAGAAATTACCTAGTAGAGGCCGCCTACCTGACAATGCACCAATTGTTCCCTATATTCTATTCTTCAGTGCTCTGTGCAGTTCAGCTTTCAAGTACTTGAAGAGTGAGCTTTTCTAAAACCTGTTTATAATTGTATAGATGTCATCTGTTTGGAATTTTTTCCCCTAATGTTCAATTTTTTTTTCCTAATTCAGTTTCCTCCCAGTACTCTGAGCTATGTCCCGTATAACCACTTTGGTGAATTCCCTCTGTCACTTTGGTATTTCATAGGTGTCAGTGGTCAAGAAGCCATGTCTTATTATGTGGTGTGACTGCTCACCCCAGATTTGTACGTGGAGACTACTTTCCAGGTACTGATTTCTCTTTCCCATATGAAGAAGGGAATCCGCCTCTGCAGAACTACTCTTCAGGCTCCCAAAAGAATGTCCAGCTAAGACCAGGCTAGGGGAGAGGTGAGAGACTGGCTACTCTGAGGTTATAAGTATGCAAGATTTGGAGATGCACATTGTCTCCCTCTCCTTTGGCCACTATGGCAATTGGTATGAATTGATAACATAGCAAAGCAAGCAAAATGCTGGCTTGCATCCATAGATGCTTCTCAAGCAAATCCCAGGACGTCATTCTCCTGTTGTACTCAGCCCTGGTGAGGCCGCAGCTGCAGTACTGCGTCCAGTTTTGGGCTCCACAATGCAAAAAAGGATGTGGAGAAGCTTGAGAGAGTCCATAGAAGAGCCATGCGCATGATAAGAGGTCAGGAAAACAGACCTTATGATGAGAAGCTGAGAGCTATAGGACTCTTTAGCCTGGAAAAGCGCAGGCTCAGGGGTGATCTGGTGGCCACCTATAAGTTTTTCAGGGGTGCTCACCAGGATCTGGGGGAACGTCTGTTCACCAGAGCATTCCAAGGGATGACAAGATTGAACAGTCACAAATTCTTCCGTGACCATTTCACGCTGGACATAAGGAAGAACTTCTTTACTGTCCGAGCCCCCAAGGTTTGGACTGCCACTGGAGATGGTTCAAGCACCTACCTTGAATGCCTTCAAGAGACATTTGGATGTCTATCTTCCTGGGATCCTATGACCCCTGCTGACTTCCTGTTCTTTGGGCAGGGGGCTGGGCTTGATCTTCCGAGATCCCTGCCAGCCCTAATGTCTATGAAATCTATGAAATAGTATAAAACTATATTAGCTTTTTCATAGAATAACCCCAGAGTGCCTTGCCACCATGACACCAAGACACAACCATGACCAAGGGAGTTGCTGAGCTAATGAGATCAAAAAGCTGTGGAGGCCTCTATGGGATAGTCCTTGTCTCCTGTGAATCTATGGTGA